ACCAGAGGATGAGAAGAAGAGGTATAGCGGGGGAGATGAGACTTCCAGAGGCAGTTCAAGGAAGGAATTACTGTACCCCGCTATATCTGAAGCCAAAAACTATGGCACATTTGGCTTGAGCTTTCTACAGAATGACAGTCGCTTTCTGTGCCAATTCATTCTAATGCATTCATATCAGCAGTAAATAAGTGGAGAGTGGGGGGAAACAGAATAAATCTCGTCAGAGTTTATGTTTTGGGAAATGTGACTTCAAAAAGAGGATCTCAGAAGATTTTGACTGGAACTCAATAGGACTTGCTGTGGAACAATATTCAGAATAGCATGAGGGAACTACAAGGGAGTAAGTTTGGTTTATATATTTTATTAATTGTTTTACATTTATTTATACTGTATTTATACTACTACATTGCAGAATTTCAGTGTCAGTAAGTTATTTTTTAAATATTTTTAAAATAAGTATCTTATGCTCACCAAGGCTGCATTTATTTGGTCAAAAATATGCTAAAAATCTTGTGAGTTTGTGAAATATTAGTATAATGTAAAATAACTATTTGTTTTTGTAATGGCAAAGCTGATTTTTCAGCAATCATTATTTTAATCTTCAATGTCACATGATTCTTCAGAAATCATTCTAATATTTCATTATAATTTGGTGCTCAAGAAACATTTCTTATTATAATGAATGTTGAAAACAGTTGATCTTATTGTGGAAACTGATACGTCTTATTTATTATTATTACTATTATTATTATTTATGATCAATTGAATGCATCCTTGCTGAGAAAAAGTATTAATTTCTTTGTGTGTGTCTATAATATTGTTATTAGATGAAATTACACCGTTTAAACCGAAAGTGTAACATTTACATATATGTCAATCTTAATTACCAAAAATGCTAAATGAGGCAGGAAGGATGTTTGTGATTGAAGAAGGTGTCACCGTTGAAATTAGTGTCACTGAAGAATCTGTGCCGGTCTCGCTTGGTGGTAATTTAGTTTACCTGGGAAGGATTGACACCAGCTGTTCCTTAGCTACGGTTCAGCTGATGCAATTAAGCCATGCAAACTGACGAACCACTCAGTCTGTTAAATGTCGGACAGATTATAAATGAGACGGAGAAGTGGGGATAAGCCGTTGATCTACTGTCTGGGGCCGCTGTTATGTAAGAGGTGTCTCAGGAGATGGCCTGTTAGCGAGGCAACTTTATTGCCACTCTTTTCGTTGCAGTCAAATTGAGTCTTAGGGGGAAGAAAATATGGTTCATCTGATGAAAAACATTGTAACTGCTTGAAGATTTTGGTTGTTTTATTGTATTCAGTGGTTAGGCAAGTAGGGATATGCCGGTATCAAATTTTCATGTTGCAATTAATTGCTAATGCTTTTATTACGGTATACGGTATTATCACAATATTGAAATTAAGTAAAAAAAAAAAAAAGTGCTGTCATAATACAGTATAACAGCTTTAATAACTTTTTTCTTATAACAAAAATAACTGAACATTTAAATGCAATAAAGCAATACAGAAAAATGTATAAAGTTAAAAGTTTTACACAGATTAAAGTGCAAAAGAACTATAAAGACCAATAGGTATCACTTTACAAAATTCGGAATAATTTGTAAAATATAATTATTCACGGTATTTAGATGTGTCCACGATAACAATATCGTGCATATTCATTACCGTGATATATCGCATTACCGAATACGGCACAAGTCTATAGGCAAGACCAGTAAATCTGTTCTTTAGTCCTTGCTTGTTACTTGAGCTGTCATTTCATATTACGCTTTCATTTGTTCTCTTTTTAAATAAATCAATCAATCAAACACTTCTTTCTGAGGATGAATACAAGATAGCCTTTTTTCTAAAATTAGCTGTGTTTGTCCACTCTTAAAGGAATAGTTCACCCATAAATGAAAATTTGCTGAAAATTTACTCACCCTCAAGTAGGGTTGTGACTGTGAGGAAATTTTCCCACCGGTTAATCAACGTGTGACAACACCGGTAATACCGGTATCACCGCGGGGGCGGGTGTTGCGGCTTAACACCGGTATCACCGTCAACACCGTCTATCGCGGCAAGCCTACCCTCAAGCCATCCTAGACTGTTTCTTCATCATGGATGGCCTAAGGGTGAGTCAATTTTAAACAAATTTTCCTTTTTGAGAGCATTATTCCTTTAAGAGATAGTGTCTTGTAGTTGAGGGGCAAATTAAAAACATGTAGCGGCCACAAATAGGGTGTTAATGAGCACCCTTCTGAAACCTACATTCAAATGGGACAGGACAAGTAATGCTAACATTGTTATTCCCATAATACCTCAGGGGCAACGACAAGTTACGCAATTTACACAAATTACGCAGACAATTTTATTGCGCGATTATGAAGTCGAAGAAATTGTTTGCGATAATGACAGCTGTTTGCATAGCTTTTCAGTGAACTACGGCTCCATTTCCTGAGTTTCTTCTGCGACTGCGAGGCGTATTTGGAGTTTCAGCGCAAGAGTGCCCTCTGGCCTTCGGATGGAGATTTACTGCTGATCACAGAACCGTGCTTCACTGAAAGATACGCATGACAATCGCAGCTTCTGTCGAATCGCGATTTCGATTCCATTTCGATTTATCGTGCAGCCCTAGTCTTGTAGTTGAGGGGCAAATTAAAAGCATGTAGCGGCCACAAAGAAGGTGTTAATGAGCACCCTTCTGAAACCTATATTCAAATGGGACTGGACAAGTAATGCTAACATTGTTATTCCCATAATACCTCAGGGGCATTTTCCAGATGTCCTGACCTGTTTGTCCACTGTCGCCTGGCCACAGTGTCTTATCAGTTCTTCTTTCCTCTCTCTCTTCTTACTCTCATGTCTGCCAGTAATGCTGCACGATTAATCGAATGAGATTGTCATGCGCATTTTGTTAGTAAAGCCGGTTCTGTAATCAGCAGTAACGTCAAAATGCCCAGCTTGGCTAGTGTTCACATAAACATAGTCCATTTTGACTAAGGTAAACAGTTGGTATAAAATCGGATGCATGTGAGTGAATTGGATCTGTACATTAAGTCTTAAAGTGACAGTAGCCTTATATACCCGCTGCTGTCTTGTCTTGAATGTTTTTCAAACAACAAAATACAAAGAAAATCACTCAGCTTTTGACTGAATAACTTTAGTTTAGCTTTAATATGAATCAGTATAGAATATTTCATTCATGCAAAGACAATTCTGTGTTTTATTTCTGTGGTGTTTTATTTCTCTTAGATAGCTTAGGCCAACCTACCTGCATGTTTTCTATTGTATTTATTTATTCTTTAACCCTGTAATTAGATAAATTATTGGAGTACATTTTACAAGAAAATAAAATTTCAATCTTTTTACTTCAGAATTTCATTTTTAGTTCGATGTGTTACTTGATGAATTATTTGTGAGATTTAATTGCAGTTTCTGAGGAAACATTGTTTTTACACCACATTTTCTTTCCAGAGTAGTTTGAAAGGAGTGGACATTCCTTAAATTCACATTGTTTACAGCTCAGGATGTAGTTCAGCCCTCATGATAATAGAGACGGAAGAGCAGGGCTGACTACTGCTTATTGGAGCTCATCCAAAATCTTGTGTGTAGTTCTCCTTTCTTCTCCTTTGCCAAGGTCAAGAGGTCCAGAATGTTTTTGCAATTGGTGGTTTTTGTATGAATGTGAAGGATCTTCTGGGGTTTCTCAAAGATGTGGTAACAGAGCTGTTATTTTGGCATCTAAATTCCCACTGAACCAATCAGACTTTCCTCTGAAATGTTTGTTTAGTGATAAGGAGTACAGTGAGCATGAAGCCCCACCCATAGTTACCCATTTATATCTATAAGGAAAATGAACTATAGAATATTTGAATACAGAATGTCAATTTGGCTGTTTTTGAAAGCATGTATTGCACAAAAATTGTAGTGTGAAAAGCTATATGTAGGCTACTTTATAGTGTTTTACATTTATAATTTTTTTGCACACAATGTATAGCAGACAGGCATGAGTTTGGTTATTTTGTATCAACCATTCATTTGCAAATTTTCTGATGGAGTATTTTTTTATCCAGTTAATTGAATAAATAATTGACAGATTAAACAAAATTTCAATATGATTGTTAGTTTCAGGCCTACTTTAGAGAATATGCCATTCACTCTCTTCATATCGGCCTACTGATGCCGTCATAAAGATGACATCATGATTGCATCATAAAGCTGCATTGTCTCCAAAAACTGCTTTAACCAGTCTAAGATGGTTTGCCAGGTTCTCATATCTTGGTCAGTGTGGTCTGTTAGCTGGTTTTATAGGGGTTTTGGGGAATTAAGAGCATCTTAAATCAGCTAGCCTTATATATATGACATCATGATATCATCATAAAGCTGCACTGTAACATCAAAAACCGCTTAATCCTGCCTAAGGTTGTTTGTTGGTCTTAGCTGCTTCTCCCAGTCTAGTCAGGGTTGTCTGTTGGCTGGTTTTATATGGGTTTTGGGGATCTATGATCAGCTGAAAACCAGTTTAAACCAGTTAAGATGGCTTTTTTTCTTCCAGGATGGCATCACTGCCTGATCTTGGGCCACCTAGGCGGGCATCATCATATGTGACAGCTGACGTCTGTCCGCTCAGCTTGTTCAGATACACTGGCACAGATCCTAGCAGACCTACGTACTGGTTCTGTTCTGTCAAAATTGGCTCCAGACAGTGAGTCTCTTCATTTAAATTGAAGGATTTCATCTATTAATTGTGTTAGTAACACATCAGGATGTTAATTCCACTGAGATGAGAAGTGATGGTATGTTTGGCGACATACAAACAGCACTTTCTGAGTCTGTGTGTGTGTACACGCAAAGCTTTGAGCAGGTGGCTGCCGTGCTGTTGTCTCATTGTGTTTGGTGTGTCAGTGGATGCTACCAATCTGAGCCGCGAGACACCAGTTCTGTTTCCTTTGTGAGCGGGCGAGAGAGAGAGAGAAAGAGGATAAGGAAGGAGTGGAGAGTGGATAGTGACAGAGAGAGGCAGATGGAAGCGACGCAAACGCCCACCAGCCTGATTTCTCTTCCACCTCCTCTCGCAAACACGGCTTTGTGTGTAATGATTAACCGATCGGAGAAAGGCGAGAAGATACCACCTCAGCCCTCATAGGAAGTGACACATGCACAGCAACATTATATAAACACACAGTGTCTTCGATCAGAGAACAGTGAACATGACCGGACCAAAAGGAGGATACTACAAAGCAGAATTGGGTAGGAACTTACTGTAAATACTTTGATGAGGGGAAATGTCACTCTGTGAGCTTGATGTCAAAATTATCCAATGTGTTTAGAACTGTGGCAGGTACATTCTTTTGTTTGCCTGTGCTTTGTTATGGCTCTTTGTTATGAGGCTGTTCAGACCTACTTGATCGAGTTCTTTGTTTACTTAACATGGTGGTGACATTGTTTTGCGTTGTTTCATTGTGGGCTTTTTCTGAAATCAATTAGTTTGTTTGCTCTTTGACCTGGTCAGCCGCTTATGAGAATAGCTACTAACATGGCTCCTAACAAGAATAGATTATATTCTTTTGGGGCAAAAGTATAGATTAAATTCTTTTGGAGTTGTATTTTTCACTATATAAATGTGATTTTGACACTTTGTTCTTGCATTACAGGGGAGCCACACAAATTTGACCCCACATTCAGAGGACCTGTTCACAACAGGTAGAGTAAATCTTACTTCCTTGTGATATTTTTCCTTGTGATATTTGAAGCCACATGTATCACATGATATACACATATACATATTATTATTATTATTATTGTATATTATGTCTCGTCAAATATGTATTGTGACGAGAGGGGCGGGGCCGAGAGCCGTGGGAACGGAGCGAGGCCGGTGGAGTAATTGCTAATGCGCGACACCTGCGCCACTCACCGGTCTCGAGTCTCACGGAGGAGCTCCGGAAGGATAAAAGTAGGAGCGACAACGGTGAAAGACGAGAGAGGACCAGGCCTGGAGTTTATTTTGTGTTTTGTGTGCGGCAGTTGTCCGCGAGGGGCTGCCGCTTTACTTTCGTTTTGTGTTTGTTTATTTGATTAAAATCTTTAAATGTTCGCCGGTTCCCACCTCCTTCTTCCCGTGACTACGAACTTTGTTACATATATTTATTTATTATATTTATTAAATAAATATATTTAATTATAAGTTTATTATAAGCAAACATACACTTGTTTTCATCCTTCTTTCCACTCTGAGGCAGAAGTCTCTAAACTCATCCTTTCCAATCATCCTACTACTTGTCCCGCAGGTATTCACACGCACTTAATCTCTCTCTCTGTCTCTCTAATAACCGCATTAGACTGAATTACACAACGCGTTTCTCTATTAATAGTAAAGCTGTGGCTTTAATTCCTGTAGAAACAATGATGCTACCAGCTCCTTGTTGAGAAAGATAATGTAGCTCTTGAGCGATTAAGCTATTTAGTTGATAAAACTGCGGGGCAGCGCTAAAAAGTTTGTTCCTGAATGTCTGAGTGGGAGTGCACAATGTAAACATGAAACATATGCAGTTACCTATATTGTACTGTGGTACAGTTATGGAGGCCCTTCATAATGCAGAGGTCAGCTGCCTGCTCTGCCAATAGTTAGAAATGGCACTATAGTGTTTAATAAACAGCTGTTTTACTAAATTCTGCTGAGGTGAAATTCAGTGCAGTCATGTATCGTGATACGTATCGTATCGTGGCATCTGTATCGTGATATGTATCGTGACTTTGCTGGTGATACACAGCCCTAGTATATATAATGCCCCCAAAGCATTATATATATATACATACAGCTAGGCCAGAAACAAACACACATGCACCCTCATAGCATTGTCTTTTCATTTTTGTCCTGATTTGCATGTGTCTGTTATTGATAAAAATATTGACTTCATTCATGGACCTGTCGCTCCGCTGGCCTGTTTCTCGCTCTGATCCAGAGCTGCTGGTGGATCAATGGTTAGTTCGGTAGTGATAGTGGACAGCACGACTTTCACCCCACAGGAGCAGAGAAATCAATGACTGTTGCTCACATGTCTAGAGTTGCTTTTCCTCATTAACATTCAAACTCAATAGGATTCAGCAGATTGTGAGGTAATTCTGCTATTATTGGACAACAAGCCATGGGTTTTTAATGTATTTTTGTTGCTCTCAATAGAGAGTGGCCATCACAGTGTGCAACCCAGCGTGTTTCTAATGGGGCTTTCCTTTGCTTTTACCGTATTTATAAGGCCCAGCTACTGCTAATTAGGGTTGACTGATGTAAAACGCTTAAGCTCTGTCGGGTTAGCACAGCATGCAGTACTTCGCTGTGCTATGTTTGCTGTGATGAGGTGCGGTACAATCCACGTCACAGCTGACCCAGTTGTTTATCATAGTGGCTCAGTAATAAATTGATAAAGTTTTTTTTAGTTGTTTGTTGTTTAATAAACCTATGACTATGATTTATGGAAGAGATTAAATTATTTTTAGTTTTATTATTTCTCGGAGCATAAAAGGAAAATTTTCTTCACACAGACATTTTCTATAAAACAGCAGTTTATAGTGATCACATCATGTCTAACTAGGGCTGGACGATATGGCCAAAATTGATATTACGATATATTTCTTAATTTCGGTCGATACGATATAATTCCGATATCGATATGAACACTATTTATCTGAAATAGAAATCTTTTGTAACATTATAAATGCCTTTATCATCACTTTTGATCAATTTTAAGCATCCTTGCTAAATAAAAGTATTAATTTCTATAATTTCTTTCCCCAAAAAATAATAAAAATTATACTGAATGGAATAGTGTATAATGTTACAAAAGCTTTTTATTTCAGATAAATGCTGATCTTTGGATCTTTCTATTTATCAAAGAATCCTGAAAAAAAAATGTACTCATCTGTTTTAAATATTAATAATCAGCAAATCAGCATATTAGAATGATTTCTGAAGGATCATGTGACACTGAAGACTGGAGTAATGATGCTGAAAATGTACCTATGTATGATCACAGGAATAAATTACATTTTAAAGTCTATTCAAATAGAAAGCCATTTTAAATAGTAAAAATATTTCAACATTTTACTGTTTTTGCTGTACTTTGGATCAAATAAATGCAGCCTTGGTGAGCAGAAGGGAATTCTTAAAAAAAAACAAAAAAACACAACATTAAAAATCTTACTGTTCAAAAACTGTTGACTGGTAGTGTAGGCTGATTATTCTTATAGATTGAAACAAATGTGCTTCAGCCAGAAAAAAGGGTATGAAAAGTGCTCCGAGTCGCTGCAGAAAACAAAAAAAATGAACAACAAAAACTGGAAATGTTGCTGGAGACGGGCTTATTTAAAATGAAAACTCATTCTCTGCCAGCAGGAGGCGCTTTTAGAGTGATAAAACTAGCGGTTTCTCCAGTAACGGCTGTAATCAAAGCAGCTCCGCTCATGAACGCTTCTTTATCAGATCAAATGAAAATGCCATCGAAACTTTTCTGAAGACAGTCAATTCCCTTCAGAGATACATTCATATAAAACACCCGCGCCGTGTTATGATTTTGAAACATGCAGTGCTCATGTTTATTCAAGTCAAACGGCACAAATAAATCAATGTATGGGAAACTGGTAATGTATATCGAAATATCGGAAATGTGTTTAAAAATCATATCACCGTTATTGAAAAAAATTATATCGCGATACATATTGATATTGAATTATTGTCCAGCCCTATGTCTAACTATAGAAAGCACCATTAAAGTCCATATGAAATCTTCTAAAGTGAGCAGAACTGCTGTGACCAGATCATTGAGAACTGGATCAGTCCGATTTGTGAACAGATCAATCTTTCCAATTGGTTCTTTTCAGTAAACCTATGAACTATTTGTTCACAAATTAGAAGTTGGTCCAATTTTCAGACTTAACCTATTGACTCAATGATCTGGTTGCAGCTTTTCACTACAAATTTTGGTCTGTTCCTCACACAAAGTAGTTGTATGACTTGGAATATAGTAAACAAGTCATATGAGCTAGTTTTCTGGTGAAGAGTCATAGTTTGTATTTTCAAAAACAAAATTAAATAACCTCCTTTGGGGTTGGAACAATATGAGGGTGAGTATATAATGACAGAATGTTCATTTTTGGATAACTATACCTGTGAATAAGTTTATTTTCTTTTCTCTTTTTTTGTTGGCTACTTTTCCACCAGTCCATTAACACTGTATCTCCGAAAATATCACCCAAGCTGTATTGCGTTAAATGTCACTGACTCCCAGTAACACGACAAATCTGCACCTTTGTGTGAAAGTGGCCCGACGCAACCACCCACTCCCCGTCTGTGTTGAGCAGAATTTAAATATAGCTCAGGGAACGCTGTTACAGATGACACTGTGGGTTTGTAGCTCTTGGGTTTGTAGTTTACACATCAGACACGTCACTCATTTCTACTGTCCTCCACATTAGCTGTCCACTCAAAGCTGCTGTATGCTGGGAGTTAGTCAGATTTGGATTAGTGCAGTCAGAACTACACAAGACTAAAGCTTACTGTCCTACTGAACCGTATGACTACATCCCAGTTAGCGTACATACACTCTGCATTACAAGTATATACTTATGAATGTGTAGTATCATTAGGACACGTACCACAATATAAAGGTGTCAATGCTACAGACCTCCTGGCTGTGTCTTGTTACCATCTAGCTAACTCATTATTTTAAAGTTCACTGTTTTCGAGTTCTTGTTAAAAACTACTTACGGATGTTTGTCCTTGCATTTAGGTACTTTTTATTGGAGTATATCATCTGGGCATTTCTAGCTTAGTATGTTTAGTGTATTATAATTTAGGATGCACTGCCAGTATAATTTTAGTATTCTTTTTTTTACCATTATAGTATTTATTAATGTTTGGAATTAGATTTTATTTTATATATTTTAAGTTTTAATTTTTAATTTATTTTAAGTTTTAATAAATTTGTTCTTTTTATTAGTTTTTTTTATTTATTTCAGTTTAAATTTTTTTTAGTACTTCAACTTCAACTTTTATTTCAGGTAGTTGTCAATGCAACATTTTTCATTTTCATTCATCTAATATTTACACTGCCGTTCAAAAGTTTGGGATCAGTAAGATTTTTCAAAAATACAGAAAAAAAACGGTAATATTGTGAAATATTGCAATTTGTAATATTGGTTTCCTATTTTAATATGCTTTAAAATTTTATTTATTTCTGTGAAGCAGCGCTGAATTTTCATCAGCCACTACTCCAGTCTTCAGTGTCACATGATCCATTCTAATAACTGAAACTATTTTTTGGAACCTGTGATACTTTTTCTTTGATTCTTTGGTGAATAAAAAGTTAAAAGAACAGCATTTGTTCAAAATCTTTTCCAACAATATAAGTCTTTACTATAATTTTTTTTATCCATTTAACACATCCTTGCTGAATAAAAGTATTAATTTCTTTAAAAAAAAAAAAAAAGAAAGAAAAAGATTAACTGACCCCAGACTTTTGAATAGTATAGTGTATATTGTGACACAGAATTTCTATTTTGAATAAACACTGTTCTTTTTAACTTTTATTATTTTAGAATCCTGAAAAAAGTATCACAGGTCCCAAAAAATATTAAGCAGCACAGCTGTTTCCAACATTGATTGTAAATCAGCATATTAGAATGATTTCTGAAGGATCATGTAACACTGAAGACTGCAGTAATGATGCTGAAAATTCAGCTTTGCTTCATGAATAAATTATATTTTACACTATATAGAAAACTGTTATTTTAAATTGCAATAATATTTCACAAATTTACATTTTTTTCTGTATTTTTGATCAAATAAATGCAACCTTTATGAGCATAAGAAACCTCTTTAAAAAACATCTTACTGATCCCAAACTTTTGAACGGCATTGTTTATATTTTTTAAATAATTTCATTTCATTTAATGAAGTCAGTTTTTAATAGTTTTAGTATTTAGTTAACAGTAACCACCCTGTGCACTACTTAATTACTTGCATACTATGTCGGAGGAATAATCGAATGAGGATGCAGCACATCTGTTAATCTTTTCTGTTGCCCTGCTCTGACCTCATTTTCTCTGTCTGCAAAGCTGCTATTTAGTTCGTTTCAACTAGTAGGTTGGCACCCAAAAATGGGTCACAAGTCTGTTCTAATGGGGTACAGTCAGCATGGAAAAATGACTACAAATACAGTATATGTGCTCTGTGTATAGATGTATGTGTGTTTTAACACACTGTGTTAGTGATTAATGTTATTTTGTTTCTAGATTTAGAGTTCACAATGGTTCTAAAAGTTTGATTTTACAACATTTGATTAATTAGGAATATGTAATTAGTTAACATATTCATGTACTTACTGAAATTCCATTATGAATGTAGCTATAGTGTGATTTATTCATTTAGCGCTCACATCCTCTCCCTTACATTCTCTTTTCTCACATTCCCACTGCAGGGGCTGCACAGACGTGCTTTGCTGTGTGATCTTTGTCATCGTCATCCTCGGTTACATCGTTCTGGGAACAGTGGGTGAGTTACACTCATTAACGTACGCTTCAGCAGAGAGGGTTGTGTAATGCGGCTCATGAATCCAGCGCTATTAAGGAGCCAAATAGAAGAGGCAGGGGAGCGTCAGTCGTAAACAGCAGCCTAATGCAGTGTCATTATGTTCAGTTACACTCCCCTCACCGTATGTGACTGTTTTTATAAGGACAGTCATTTAGTCCATTCTCAAAAAAGCAAAAGGACTCACACGAACCCATTCATTCACTGTGACATTAGATCGGTTACATTTTTTGTGGTTTAAATATGGAGTCTGTGGTTAAATCTGTCAGAGGCTCTTCTCTTGTGCCGTTTCTGGGAGACTCACAGCTTGCCGACTGTTGGATCTGTCTGTGTTGGAAACATGCTGCCTGTGATTGTTATATATATATATATATATATA